GCGTTGATATTTGCATCAGCACTGTAGACGAGACGGTTTCCTTTGTACTCCGATGTTTCCCGATTAAAATTGTTATGAATTTATTTTCACTATCACCACAAAAAACGGTGTCATGGAGTCTTTCAAGTTCCCGAACTGTGGATTCAACCATCGGACGAATAGTTCCCAAGTCGGCGTGTTTGTTAATCGGTGTTGGAATGGCCTCAGGGGGTTAGTGAAAGTAAATTAAATTGTTGTATTTTTGCGTACATAGTACGCACTGTGTTTATTTTTTTGCGTACAATGTGATATTGATGCGTAATATACGCATGTTTTTGCGTAAACGCGACCACTGATTATCTGTCTTAGCTGTCTTTAAAATATGATATAAAGGTAGCTATCCTGCCCTCACTGTTCTGCTTTATTGTGAAATTACTGGAGGATCTTGTTCCTCTGACAACTATATCTACAATGTAACTGATTTTCAAGGAGAAAACAAAGCCACCTAACTTGGTGTATATTGTTTACAAATCAAACTGGATTTATCATTATGTATTAAAATCTGATAAAATTTATCAGATCTCAGTCGTTTATGGATGGATTTCATGCAAACTTAATACTCGCATTGAACATTATGGGACCTTGATGCACATCACTGTTTTTCAGACCAGATTTAAAATAGCTTTCTGGTGGCCATTTTATTTTAATGGATGCAGTTCCAGAGCCATTTATGATTCGCCTCGACCGTTAAAACTTTATTTCTTCACCCATTATGCGCCATGATTTTAGTGCTACATTTTGCCTATTTTTAAATATTACCGATATTCTATATTTTTTTTGATCATTTTGAACCAAATGGACATCATTTTCTATTAAATACACGCTTTATCAAATATTTGTGAACATTTTATTTTTATGAACGGTTACAAAAATGGACTTTGGTGCAGAAAGGATTAAACTCACAATGACTATGTACTAAGTAACTGCATACTTGTTCTTCCAGGCACAGTTGAATTTTCCCAAATACATAGAACCTATATTGAAAGGGGAAGCCACAGTGGAAAATGCTCCTAAGTTGTGGCGTAACATTCAGCCTCATTTACAGAAAGCGTTACAGACTATCTATCTCAGAGAGGTTTCCAGGTAAAAAAAATATTTATGATATCCATGAAATTCAGTTTGGGATAGTTGTATGTGAATAAATTTGCATCTACTTAATTACATGGAAAGCTGTTTTCATATTTTACACTCAAACTTCCACTCAAAATATTTTGTATTTTTGTAAAAATTGTTAACTTAAAAATAACATACAAAATTATGAATATTTTGAATTTAATGGGCGACTACCCAGTACAAGTTAATTTACATGTTTGGGAGTTAAGATAAAGTCGTTTTTTATGCCACCTGAGGGCGCTATATTATACAAACAAATATAATTGAACTGAACTCTAGAGGGCGCTACTTGTAAAAAAACAAACATTCACCCATCAAAGTTACTTTAAGGCACAGTCCCTCTATTCGATAGAGGAACTGTGCATAAGGGCACGGCATTGGTACCATATGCCACTGTTGTCTAACATTGTTATATAAAATTGATAAATTCCTGGTACGAATCATCATTTATTTTGGAAATTATCAAAATTGAGATATAACAAAGACTCAACCAGAATTTAAAATAATGCAGGAATGAGTGGACAACTGAGTTAAATCTTTTTTGTTTTCTTCTAGAACATGTTTGCATCACAATTTCAGCTTAGTTACATTGCTTATATGTTTATAAACACAACAATGTATATTTCAAGAATTGGGGGAATTGATGACAAAACTACACACCAGATACTAATCTTCAAGTATTTCAGGGGATTATCTAAAATGCTCAGAATATAGGCGAGTTGTTTAAAAAGTTTACAAATGTGTAATTTATTGTTTTCAGCGCTCAATGGGAAAAATACCAGCTTGAAAATGTGGAAGGAGCAGGAAGTCTTCCAAACTTGCTATCTCTGCGTTCTAGTGTTGAGTTACCATATTATTCTAAATACCTTCTGATAGCTGCTTATTTAGCTTCTTATAACCCCACCAGAACTGACAAAAGATTCTTCTCAAAGCATCATGGGAAAATAAACAAGCATAAACTGAAGAAAACAGAAAAGGTAATGAATCAGGTTATTGGTTTGTTTTGACTTTTTATTTAGAGACAACCACTTGTGGAACTATCGGTATTTATATAAATGTGCACATTTTCACTTTTTACACATGAAGAATGACTTGACTTGATTGAAGTTAGAACATTTAGTACATATTCTCACAATTCAGTCTATCAGATATTTTACAGAGTGCAACCAGATTATATTTCATGTTTTTCTAATTTCATAGATCAGCTTTCAATTACTGGGACCTAAGCCCTTCCCACTAGAGAGATTGATGGCTATATTCTATAGCATTGTGGAAGGTAAAGTAGCACCCACTGCCAATATATTCTCACAGGTGAGTCATGCTCAATCAGTTTAAAACTTCTTTGAAATGTTTTAAAATTTCATACGTTCATTTTAATACTGTAAAATGACTAATTTTCACTGGGTTTAAATTTTGCTGATTTACCATTTTAGGCATATTCAATGGGTTTTAAATTCACAATTTTATCATTTAGATAATGTGTTCTATGCTAAATTTTACATATTCACTGGATTTTAATTTAGCGCATTTTCCAGTCAGCGAAAATAAGCTAAATTAAAACCCAGTGAATAATTAACCCTCTTTACAGTAGTATGTATTTTTATTATAACGTTGATAAAAAATATATTTATTATAATAATTTTTGCTTGCCAATAAATTCCACACTTAAATGATTAAATCTCCACACGATCTACTTGATAATGACTTTATAATTTTGTAAATTTGCCAACAATCCATCAAACTGCTTTGTGTGCTATCTTTGTGTGTGTAAACAATGTTTTATGTGTGATCATTTGAAATTTCAGTGTTTTTATGATGCTGATGGACTATGGCACTTTAACATAACTGGAGATTTAAACTTTTTAACCTAGCTGTTTTTGACTTTATTTTTTAATTGAAAACAAATTTTATTTAAGGGCTGGGAGCGGGGACTTCTTTACTGCCTTTTCTATGAAGCTACAAATATACGAACAATGTTATAATGAATAGTGCCCTCACACAAGCAAATATTGTGTAATACTACAGGAACACAAAACTAACAATTTTCTGAAATATTTTTAAAATATTGATTCAGAGTCTTGTATTATTATTTTTTTTCCAGATTTCTAGTTTGGTGAGTTTACATCTGGTCTCACACGTTAGTAGTGATGATCAGCTGGACAGTGCCAAGTACAAATGTACAGTATCATTGGATTTCATTAGATCCATCGCAAGGTAAGACAACTAATAACCTGTAGCGTAGCGTAGCGTAGCGTAGCGTAGCGTAGCATAGCATAGTGGTTTTTGGATCAGTGTCTTGTTCGATAATTTAAATCATACTTCGGGGTTAAATACTGAAAAGTACAGACAAGGGTGAGATCAAAGCCACAGGCAAAGATTCATTCATTAACGGATGTGACTTTGGAGTGATCTCATTTATTGTCTGCTTGTGGTTGTGTTCTACCAGGCTGAATTAATGCCAGGATAGTGCATTAGATTTCCATGATGCTGTTATAATAAAAAAATGGTCATACATTTTTCAATTGACATGTCTTAATGACAATTCCAAACTGAAAAAAACTTCCACATGCAAAATCGTTTGCATTTTGTATAGTGATGAAACCATACTCAATCTCAAAGGGGTTTTCTTGTGGATTTTTCAAATTCAAATTTCCAAAACAACAAAATAGTATTTGTTTTGCCTCTTATTCTGGTATTTTTCTTTTTCCTCAGGACTGTGAATTTTGATGTTGTGCGTTATCTATATGACTTTGTATAAGTGGTGCAAGTACACAGGTACTGTTACTACTCTTAGTGAACTTCATGGATTGCTTGCATACCAGAGTTATTTTTATGTATCACTGCCAAATCCATGGAATATATAAACTGCCTTCTCTTATACATCGGTAAAGCAACATGTCAAAATTTTGTTGATAATTTGTTTATTAACATTCTTAATATATATTTTTCACTTTCATACTTTCATATGATTTCATAGAATAAATATACATGTGTATTTTTCAAGTCTATATTTATTGGTCTGTCTTGATGTATTTGGAGTTGTTTTTTTATATTCCACCAGAGATAATTACCTGTTGATTGGCTAGAAGTAATCATGTGATGATACAGTTTGTCATTCATTTACAAATCTTAAAAATTTATTTATAAATATATTTTGAATGCAGTATGTATGTTACTTTGTTACAAGATTGGATGACCATTATTTGACCCTGGTGGAAGTGTTTAAAAAATATCTCTGTGGATAACTAGATAAGTCATGCTTTGCAACTTCTTTATTGGTATGGGTAACATATAAAATAATTTCACCTGAAATGGCTAAAAATGGCTGAGCACATAATAAAAAAACAACCAAGAAAAGTGGAAGTCTCTCAGCTAAGCTGTTCTAGATGTGAATGATGTGATGCTATATATTTCACTTTGACAAAGACTGAACAACAATGACTTTCATTCAGCACATATTCATATAAATTACACATACTTTTAGAGAACATGCATTGTTGATACAGCAGTTCAGACAATATTTTCATAAAGCTATACTTCATCCCACCAAAACATTAACTGCTTACAATCTGTTAATCATGTCAGCCTGAGCATATCATATGTTTAAATTATGTTACTTTACAGTTAAGCATGTAATATGTGCATTGTAAAAATACCAGTTAAGCATGTAATATGTGCATTGCAAAAATACCAGTTAAGCATGTAATATGTGCATTACAAAAATTACCAGTTAAGCCTGTAATATGTGCATTGTTAAAATCTACTGGTTAAAGCATGTAATATGTGCATTGAAAAACTACTAGTTAAGCATGTAATATGTGCATTGTAAAAATTACTGGTTAAGCATATAATATGTGCATTGTAAAAACTACTAGTTAAGCATGTAATATGTGCATTGTAAAAACTACTGGTTAAGCATGTAATATGTGCATTGTAAAAAACTACTACTTAAGTATGTAATATATGCATTGAAAAACTACTAGTTAAGCATGTCATATGTGCATTGTAAAAACTACTAGTTAAGCATGTAATATGTGCATTGTAAAAACTACTGGTTAAGCATATAATATGTGCATTGTCAAAACTAGTTAAGCGTGTAATATGTGCATTGAAAAACTACTAGTTTTAAGCATGTGATATGTGCATTGTAAAAACTACTGGTTAAGCATGTAATATGTGCGTTGTAAAAAACTACTAGTTAAGCATGTAATATGTGCATTGAAAACTACTAGTTAAGCATGTAATATGTGCATTGTAAAAAACTACTAGTTAAGCATGTAATATGTGCATTGAAAACAACTAGTTAAGCATGTAAAATGTGCATTGTAAAAACTAGTTAAGCATGTAATATGTGCATTGAAAAACTACTAGTTTTAAGCATGTAATATGTGCATTGTAAAAACTACATGTACTAGTTAAGCATGTAATATGTGCATTGTAAAAAATACTATGTGAACTCATAATTAAGTGTGCAAGCAGTATACTTAGAGAAATAATCGGTACAAACGCTTAATCTGTAGTTCATACACTCTTTAAGTGTGCGAGTTTGCTATAAAAGGTTGTTGGTTGGAAGATGTGTAAAAGCATACTGCAACAAATCCAAGACTGTACAGTGGATTATGGGTAATTTGTTATTTGTATGCAATGATTACAGTTAACAGAAGTCTGTAATAGCTTTGACATTGCTGAAATTCCCCAGACCATGTGTTCTGACTTTATGATGATTTACAGTGGTTTCTGTTATCATCTTCAGATGGTAAAAGGCAATTCTGATTAAGTTTGTTGATAATTATCGTGTAATTAGTGCGGTATATTACTGCTAGGTTAAAGATCAGTATTAACAAAATAACATTTAATGATTCATTATCATTAGATGTCTGGTTCGCACTCAATCGTAGACGTCTGAGTTGAAGTGTATAGTTTTATTGAGGATATATGATAAGTTGTATGTAGAAAGTTGAAGTTACACTTTGAGATTACATTTTTGGTGTTTAGGACTATTGTGTAGCATATTAAACGCAAATGGTTTTTGAAATTCTCGTTATCTCATGTAAAGAGTTTATCAATTCTCTTTTTAACGAATATTAAATTGATTATACAGTGGTGTTAGCACATTTCCTGCTGTAAGTCTCCATGGATAGCCAAAATGAATTAGAAATAAGCGCTGTCAGTAGACCATGTGTTATGGTGAACATAACCATGACTAGTATAGCATAGATTGCTTGTCGAGTACAGACTTCTGCTTTAGACAACTACAAATCATGTGCCTAACTCGGAGCCATTGACTGGCGTTGACATGTGAAGACAATATCTTTCTGCTATATTGACAAACTGCAGGAAATGTTCTCTTCACAAATCATACTACTCAATAATACACTATAGGTACATGTATATGGTAAGGCGGCAGGATGTGGCCATATAGAAATGAGTAAAAAAAAATTATTAAGCTCTGCTCTGCTCTGCTCTGCTCTGCTCTGCTCTGCTGAATTTGAAAAAAAGTGGTGTCAGTAGGCAAATGTGTTATGGACATCACTTGATAGAAATATTCAAAATAAATTTCATATTACCCCCAGTACTCATCAAATAAGTCTATTCAACTATAATTGAAACAAACATATTTGTTCAAACTTGATGATGAAAGAATTTGTTTTTTTTGTCTATGCATGTCCATTCAAATTTTGACCCACGCCCATGAATGTAAAACTATAAGTAACACAACTGTTCTTTTAATTTGGTCTCATGAAACTTTTGATTCTGAACTGTGCAAAACAAAATGTAAACAAAACTCCAACATTTAACACTGTAAAGTACTTTAGGCAAGAGTTCTTTTTGTACCCCCCATCCCTAACCCTAACCCTAACTAACACTCACTCCCACTCACTCCCAGTTACCCAATTCATTTGTATATTCCCCCTCTAGATAACTATAGATGTCATTAGAAGGGGCATGTACAATTAAATGGGAGTGCTGGAGGGTAGGGTTAGGAATGGGGGGGGGGGGGGGTACAAAAGGAACTTATTTCGCACTTTAATTTTATGATAGACAAATTTCCCAAATTTTGCAAGTTGGTAAAAAACCATGAATTTTTTTCTCGATGAAAATTTTCTGGGGTCTTGCTCTATGTACAAGTACCAGCATAGTCTCCCCTATGGTGCCAGTCATTACAGACAAATTGTTAACAGTAGATACCAGCTATTAATCCATTACTAGCATTGTCAAATGTTATTCATTAGATTCCTGTATTCTTGACAGTGAGCTTATGTTCCTATCTGAAAGACTAATTGCATGTACGGTCAGCAGTTTTGACAATGTTTTTAAAGTGATACTGTTTTTGCACTACCTCATTCTTGATGGGTTTCATAGGGCAAATGTTGTTTACATGCAAAAACTGTGGTACTTTAAAATGTGATATATACCAACCCCATCTATTTGAATGCTATATTTTTGTCGCCAAAATTACATATTTCTGTGTATTTGTTGATAGTTTTGTTTTAATCAGATAAACATAATTGCCTTATTAGACATTGTCTTCATCAAAACAGTTATAAAATATTGTAAGTGCATTTTGCAAAAGGTGACATAAGTTGACTTAGGCATTCAAAGGGTTAATCAGAATGTTCATACTAATAAAATCCTGCTTCTAACAAAGAGTAGAAAGTTTTGAGAATCTAGTATATGTTACCTGAAGAAAAACAAAAGAAAATAACTTCACCATATAGACCTAGAGAATGACTGGTATTCAACTGTTTGTGAAGTCCCTATTTCATACATACTATTGTATTAAAAAAAATAGTTTTTGTTTACTAATTATGCATATAATTGGATTCATCGCTTGCTGCTAACTAATAACATACTGAGAAGCCAATTTCCAGTAAAATTACCGATGTTTCTCAGTGAGATGTATTTTTTTTTAATTCAGAACACTTACAAATGTATTCCCACGATTATGTCTTGCGGCCACACACATAGATTGTCAGCAAAGCTTGTCTGGAAATAACAGAATAGAGGAAGTCATTGTTTACCCACTAGAAGAATCTTTTACCATGATTTATCGTCCTTACCTGCCTTTAGTCAGAGATCCTTGACCCCCCCCCCCCCTAATACTAAATAGTGTTTTTATACTGCCTTGACTTCCTTAGATGAGAGTTTACAGGTAGTTGTAAATGTTGTATAACTCACTTAAGTTTGTTAGACCAAAAATGTTACTTGTTTCTGGTGAGTGTCAGTTCAAAATGTTTTTTTTTATTGCAAAATAATTTAAAAATAAAAGAAAGCAAAAGGATTGTTACAAAACCATTAATTAGAACATCTCAGAACCAGAAACACGCACAGTTCTATTATATTCTATTCTATTCTATTCTATTCTATTCTATTCCAATAGCAGTTGGTTGCGTTATTTATTACCTATTAGTATATGATAAACTCAAGAAAATGCCATCAGATAAAGAAATCAAAGCAGAAATAAAAACTGCAAAGAAAAAGAAGTGCTAACAATTTTCATGACAAATTTAATTTCAAACTACATGTATCTCGTTATTTAGTGTATGTGGTGTCTGAAATATTTTCAGTGCAACAGATGTGTAATTAATCTACTGTAATTCACTTCAGTTTTGCGAGTGACAAATTTCCGCTAGACTGTAAAAATAAACTTTCATAATGACAATTTCTGTGGAATCCTACGGTAATGACTTTTGTGAATTTTTGTCGTATTGAATGCCATGAAATCCTCAAATTGTGAAAATGGTTTATACAAAAAAAAAACAATTGTAGGACATATGTAAGACGTAGTTAATTATTCCCTTTTTAGTATTGTTCTAATTAGTGAATCTCTCTTTCAATTTGGCAGTTGTGCTATAGCTAATATCCCAGAATGCAAAGCTGCAAGCAAACCAACAACATATTATTATTCTGAATGTTCATGCTGGGTAGATTGTTCCTTTGTTAAAGTTTATTTTTGTGTAAAATGAAGAACAGAAGAATTGAGTTTGTATTTGTCTGTGTGTTTTCCCCCCATTGCTCAATTATGTTGACCATGCATGCACCTATTGTTTCGATTTGGACTAAGTTTATATTTTGCCTCAGTCCACCTATAAGCAGCTTTTCGTATCTGATCTCATCTCGTTTTGACATCCATCTTTAATTAAATACGATTGAAAAGCACCGTTCATTTTGCTATCCAGGATTTGTACATTTAGACACACAAAAAAGCTACTAACTTTTAAATTAAAAATACAAGCACACTGCGTCTTTGTATCAGCTCGATCTGTATCATTGAGAAATTCCAGCACACCTAGCAACAGTGCCGCAAAAAAGCAGGCATTTTAACCTTGGAAAAATGTCCTGTTTGATCAGTGTTCAGGCTGTTTACCTGCCAAAATACTCTCCTGGTTCTTGTTAGTTTTTCTCACAATGAAAGCCGTTGTTTAAGACTCTTAATCGAAAAAACATCTATTGGGTGGATCCGTGGAGACTGCAACTTGTGTTCGATATGTTCGGTTTAATATTTCATTACCTTTTAATTCTGTTATACAGCAGACTCGCATTCCTTCACACAGCCAGCCTATATAAAATGGCATAAACTCTAATCAAATATACTTTATGTGCTATAAAAGAATACTTGTTGCTTTATTGTGTTATTACTTTAATTTATAATGTGGCTTGCTGTGGCCCCTTGAAAATCACTGAACCTACATTACTATAGCGCACAAAATAATTCTTTTTGACTACACTAGATGATGTTTTACTTGCGATAAAATTCTGCATTCATAAATGTTGCGAGTATAATATTCATCCAAAAATTTGGCAAAAGAAATTTGTTAACAAGGTTTCTCAAGGTGGACCTGCATTCCACATTATGCTTACATACATACGTACATAAATACGTGCCCTGGGAGTATTTCCCCCAGTTGTAAAAAAATTGAATAATCGTCAGTTAATTTTCACCTGCTTTCATGAAACCCGATTTAGTGTCGTGAGACCGGACTCTGACAGAATAGACGAAAGCTTAATGGGGTCAGTTGAGGTCACCTTAGGCGTGATATACAATATGCTATTGACACTGTATCATTCTTTTGCTTGCTGTTTAGCTGGGTATTGTGGAAACAGATTAGTAAACAAACAACAGATTATGGGTAAACAAGGCTCTTATTGATGAACACAAGACAATACGCAAATATTGCAGCCACTGCCAACTCTTTTCTATTAAGATTCTCAACTATTTCTGTTTAAAATTGGAGAATTTTTATCCAATCTTGTTGTTTTATTAAAAAAAACATTATTTATCATAAACATAAATAATTTAAATAAATAATTTCAAATGTCTTTACTTAAATCTTGCTGTGAAGAGATATCATAAAAGATAATAAAAAAAAACAAAAACATTATCTTGAATCGTGTTCTCTGCATACAAGTATCTGATATGCTTTCATTCATAAACAAACTCAGTCAATATGCAATCACAATCAAATACTTCAAAAAAAATTTCAGAATAAAAAATAAATGTTCGGCTTCTTTTATTGTATGATTAAGACCTTTGCTGCTATACTTGCCTCGAAATTAAATATTCTTATCTGGGGCTTTGAACTCGGATAGTTTACTCAAGATTTACTTAGGAATTAAGTTGTTAGATTTCAACAGACATATGTCACATAAATCTTTGATATTACTAATAAATTTAATGGCAAAAACTACCAAAATGCCAGTTTTATCATATCTTAGATTCATGTATAACTGGGTCGAAATTACATGTGGTACCAAATGTATAAACGCATGGCGATAAATGTATATCACATGGCATAAATGTATAATTTCATGCATTATGCTTGAAATTAATTTTTATTCAAATGTATTTTCATTTTAGTAGAGTATTACATGAATGAAAAGAAATGTTGTCTTGGGGTTTTTAAACTACATTTCTATTGATGCTAATGTTTGTTAAATGTCGTAACTGAGCATGTTCAGAATGATTGATTATATTGTAGAATGGTTTTGTGATGTCAGTGTTTGACATGTGGTTAACCCTCTCCTATTGATAACAATACTTTGACTTTTTTCATCGCCATGGAAATGCTACCGTATAATCATTATTTATAATGTATTGGTAATGTTTTCACCTACATTGTTGTATAATGGCTTTAGCCTTAATCACTTGCCTTCATATATTAGAAGTATACTTTAATGGTTTGTATTGGGTCAGCATTTCCGCTGGAGTCTAGAATTTGTTTTATAACCTACTGAAATTTGGGGTTGACCATCATAAACTCTGTAGGAAGGGGTGGGCGGGTGATTGATTTTTTTAAAATAAAAATCTGCACAGAAAACAAATTGGGAAAATTGCAGAAAAATGTATATTCATAAAAAACAGTGATAAGCCCCCCCCCCCAAAAAACTTGATCAAGGGGAAACAATAATTTACAGTAACAGTAGTTATACCTTTCATCCTTGTCTATAACTGCAATTTAAATAAATATTTCACCACTGTGTGGCAGAAAATACATTAGAAAGCATGTGGGTCTCGTACAATGTATATTTTTCTCTGGGTGGTGTGTATTCTTTATTTCCTGTACAAAACCATTTTTAATTTGATGCCAATCATCATGTAAATTTGGTTGAAATATTGGATAGTGAAATTCAATATTAAAACTTTATTATAAAATAAATAGGTAAAACTGAAATATTTCTGTGAAAATTGTAATAGTGATCGACTCTACTAAAATATCCGGGAAATTATAGATTGATAATAATGAAATAGTCTGTAAAAATATTTTGGTATATTACTTTAACATTGTATTCTTAGTCCCTCACACCTTCCATCCCTACTTGTAATTAATGGTGCAGCCCCTGATAACAGTTCAAATCTTTTGACTGGATTATCAGCTATTACTCGGCAACTCGGGGCAAACTGTCAAACTTTTCAAGAATAGGCCGGGTGTGATATGTTCAAATTGTGGCTATCTGCCGGTCTTTGACATACTTGCAAATTGGACATTTTACCTCTGTCATCAGTGAGTTCCCCGCGCCAATGAGTTGTAGTGGTATTTTGACTGCAGACGTAGGTATTGATATTCTAAAGCGGTGTTAAGTGTGAATGAACAAAGGCATTATATACTATTGTGCCGTGTAGTCAAGTCCTTTTAAGAAAAAAAAAAAGTAGCCTGGGTAAAGTTCTTCTGCTCTTAGCCGACAATCTACCACACGGACAAGCTGATATCAAGCGGAACATCCGAGACTGCAGATACCACTGTTTAATGACTGAACTGTCAACATCTGGTATACTTTTAACTCTTCTCTTAGTATAAGGATTAAACGTTCATACGATAGATGAGTGGGCGTCGGGAACATCTAATTCATCCACGCTGAGTTATCAGGGAATAGGCAGTGAACAGAAGTTTGAACTGTTGGTTACATTGCTTGGCAGTGGAACTTTTGAGTGCAAGCGATGTGTTGAAAGATCACCCATCTTGTTTCTGAATCGGTGATGTTTTTGACCATGAATTTTATAACGGTCGTCACCCTTGGGGTGATGGTGGGTATGTCATGGGGTATGTTCTCCGGTATGCAGCCGTTTTTCTTTATGTGTAACTTTGAAGGAGGATTAGACCAAGCGGGTGTGGACAGTGATGAAGTCACGCTAAGTGTGTCTATAGTTGGCAACCCGTCGTACTACACACCTGGGCAGATGTATCAGGGTAAGCCAATGATTTTTTTCTTTGTTACTTGTAGTGGTGTGATGTCTATATGTTGATTATTTTAAATATTTGAATTTAAAATTTCAGCGATTTGATTTATTTAAAAAAACTAGAAAAAAATTTGCTGCAAACTGCTGATGTTTTTAAACAGTTGGAACTGACAATTATGGCTTTTTTTAACAATAACTAAGTTTTTCTTTTTGTTAATGTGCTTTTGTCAACTTCCGTCTCTTAGCATAGTTTGTGCGACACATATCCTGTCGCACAATACACGTATGACAGCTTTTCACTTTTCAACTTTTTTCCCGTAGCATCCTTATTATAATACTGCCCTAATGTTGTTATTCCTTTCTTGTGGTGGCTGTTTTATTTCCGCTCAGCACCCATAAATTAACTAAATTGCCTTCTAATTGCCGAATTGTTGAAAATAAAGTTACTCTAGCGACCCTGAAACAAGCTATCCCTCTTTAGGTACATTAAGATACAGGTACCTGGTGAATTGATACTGACGTTTGGCGACAACTCCTCAACTTATCGTAGAATCAGTAACAGAACTATTTGCATTACAAGAGGTTTCCTTCAATTTCTATCCCTCTATAGAGTACCATAGTGGTATTAAATAACATGTATTGGTGCAGAATGAAACATTACCTCTTGTTTTTTTTGTTTATTTTTTAATTTTGGGAGCTGGGTAATGTTTAATTTCATGGTCTAACTGGGCTCACTGAGGCTTATAACGAAAGTAATCGCAATCAGTCCAGAAATGATCAATGTTGTTTATTCAGTTTTGACAACCCTTCTCTTCAAAGAGAGAAAAGAATAAGAAACTGAAGCTTGATTTCAATTTCACCGTAACTTTGGTGCACCTTTACAATCTATTGGAACAGCTCTCTGTTAACATGATTCTTTGGTATACAATCCATGCATACAAGCACCACCTTTTATTTTTTACACACAAAACCCATCCCATCTGCTTTGGGAATTTTTATATTTAGATGTGTACAGTACTTCATGTTTCTTTATGATTCGTCTATACACTGTGTTGGTTGAAATTAGACTATCGTTTTATGCTGTCTGAATGTGTATTGAACTCGCTAAGCGCCAGAGACAAAAGCATCCTTGACTTTATCTCCAGATCCTTGACTTTTCTTTCAGGTAATCACAGTATTCATTCACTGAATCCTATTAGGGCTGGGTCATGTGAAATTAGTAAATTCAGTTTGGTCTAAAAGCACTTTTCACGACCATGATGTGATACTGTAATATGGAAGCCCAATATGACCAGATTTTGAGGTGGTTACAACTTGACACCCTCGCAATACATTTATTAGAAGAAAAACAAAAAGTGATTTCTTACATTCAAGATATTTACCGAACATTAATTTGAGGAAAGTTTATATTTGTTTTTCACACATGAATCAAGGAATGAATAATGTTTGTGTTTGTTTCTTTATGTACTGTAAAACCATTTATTTTCACTCACACTTAATTTTGCTATTAATCTTTGAACAATTTCACTTGGTTTTAAGTTCACAAGCGAGTTCTATTGTTTTAAGTTCACAAACGAGTTCTATTGTTTTAAGTTCACAAACGAGTTCTATTGTTTTAAGTTCACAAACGAGTTCTATTGTTTTAAGTTCACAAGCGAGTTCACAAGCGAGTTCTATGTTTTAAGTTCACAAGCGAGTTCTATTGTTTTAAGTTCACAAACGAGTTCTATTGTTTTAAGTTCACAAACGAGTTCTATTGTTTTAAGTTCACAAACGAGTTCTATTGTTTTAAGTTCACAAACGAGTTCTATTGTTTTAAGTTCACAAGCGAGTTCTATTGTTTTAAGTTCACAAGGAGTTCTATTGTTTTAAGTTCACAAGCGAGTTCTATTGTTTTAAGTTCACAAGCGAGTTCTATTGTTTTAAGTTCACAAACGAGTTCTATTGTTTTAAGTTCACAAGTGAGTTCTATTGTTATAAGTTCACAAGCGAGTTCTATTGTTTTAAGTTCACAAACGAGTTCTATTGTTTTAAGTTCACAAACGAGTTCTATTGTTTTAAGTTCACAAACGAGTTCTATTGTTATTTTACATTCTCACATGGATTTAATTTAGCAGATTTTCCTTATCACTAAAAATAGTGAAATTTAAAAATGATGAATAATTAATGCTTTTACAGTACACAAAATCTGCAATTTACTTTAAAATTTCTAATATAATGAATGTGCTGTAGACTGGTATTTTTGTTGCTGTCAGAACTGTGCTGTATATAGAACTGCTGTGTAAGTTTCACTGTTGAAAAATGTTGTAGTTTCCTGTAAAATGAGTAGTTTATACAGTATGTAGTCTCAGTATATTTAAACTAGGCAACTGAGAAACAGCTCATTGTCAGGGCTGTTAATTTAAAACATGTAGGTAGCAAATGTAATCTTTGTTTTTTTTTTTTTTGGGGGGGGGTTGTTGAAGGTGATTTCAGTTATTGTGTGCAAAAACTTCACTGAGATGTTTTCAAAGTTTGTTTCATTTTTTTCACACTTGCAAACTTATGTTTAGAGAGGAAATAGGGTTGAATGTTAAATGATATTTATTGCATGCAAGTTTTATTTATCCTGGACACTTACATTCAGACTTAAAGATCATTGCCTTTTATATTCTGTGAACTGTTTGGATTTAAGGAGAGATAAAATTGGTGAAAATCATGATATTTTGTAGCATTGAAAATTTGTCGGAATCCTAAAAACACATACCGGTATTCAGAGACGAGTGAAATTTTGATTTTGATTGCGAAAGTTCCTAGCAATAAACATTTTACAGTATACAACCCTTTAGAGAAAATCTTGTATTAGAATTTGGATTGAACGCTGTCCAATTTATGCTGTGTTTGGTTCAGACTGACTGTATTGTATACTTGTACATGTACACTGTAGTGATAATTAGTATCTAAAGCAATCTGAGTCTAATCTGAAATAATTGTACAATTTTTTTCAGTCTTGTAGGTGCCTTCCATGGTCTTGTCAAGATGATAGTGGAACAGTTCCATGTGATTAA